AGCCCCACAGCCTGGGTCCAGAGCTGGGGGAGGCTGCGGAGCAGAGCAGCGCGAGCGGATCCCTCCCGCGGCAGAGGGAGGCGACGTGCTCGAACCCCAGGGAAGGGAGAAGCGGCTGAGGATTCGCGCCCCCGGCTCGTGGGCTTGTACGGGCCCTCCTCATCGCTAGCATTGCTGCTCATGAGTCTCTCTGAGGCTGTCGGGGAGTCTGGTTTGTCTCCCATCCGCCCTGGGCCCGGCTCACTTGAGGCACGCGGGGATGCAGGAGAACGTCCTCTTCACGCGCAGCAGCAAGGGAGCGCCGCTCTTGGCATCCCGGGCTCTGGGTACCAGTCCCTGCAGGGCTCCCTCCGCCCTGGCCGCTCCTCCTCTCTCCGTGGACAGCAGGGCCTTTATTTCTTCCTCGTCATTGAAGGGGACGGCCCCGTACCTCTGCCGCAGGTGCCTCCGGACCTGGGAAAGAAGGAGCAGCGAGCGGATGCGCCTGAGCCTGGGAAGCACGGGGTTTTTTTCTGCCTCCCCAAAGAGGGTCTCCAGCCTCCCCTCAGCTGTGGCCTCCAGCTGTGAGCCCCGAAATCTGCTCAGTCAGGGCCAGACCTCACTCGCCCAAGCTGAGGCGCTCAGTGGACTCGTGCCCAGCTGGCCATGCCCAGCAGAGCGGCCATACTGCACGGTGGGACTGGACACCGGCCCCACCGGGGATCTGGGAGCAACCTGGTCCTCCCTCGGCTCTGCTCCTGCTCTGGGAAGCCAGTCAGGCTGTGCCGACCCTGAGGACATGCACGAGGCCAGCAGGGCCGCGGGGACAGGGCCGCCTCGCGCGCCCACCTTCCGCGCTGCGCCGCGGCCAAACTCATCCAGCTGCCGTCGAAAGCCGGGGTTGGGGTTGGCGATGGGGCGAACCGTCCTGATGGCCTCGAGCACCTCCGGGCAGCTCAGCTCGGTGACAGCCATGACGTAGGCGACGACGACGGTCGTGCTGCGGGAGATGCCCGCGAGGCTGCGAGCGGAGGAGAGCTCAGCCGCTGCCCCGGCGCGGCCCGCGCCGCTGCCTGCACCCCTGCGCTTGCCCCTTCCTCCCCCCTGCGGCTCCAGCTATTTCGGTTCCTCTTCTCAGAGAACTCGCGCCCTGGGAGGCCGGAGCGCTTCCAAGGTCCTCTCCTATAAATACCTCCTTCTCCCTGAGGGAAGTGAAAGCATCAGCTGGATCCCTGCCCCTGAACTGTTCCCACTCGCTCGGCTGAAGCCAAAAGCTGCCCCGTCTCCAGGGCAGGCGCTTCTCCAGCCTCGATGGCCTCTGTAAACCCTGCTCGTACTGAGGCCACCGTCAGTCCCCATGTGGGTCCCTTCACGTTACGTGACAGGAGCCGAAGCGGCGGTTTTTTCGCCAGGGGCGAGCGGTGCCCGGCTCGCCAGGGGCTTTACCAGTGCACGAGGCAGTTCCCTCCGCGCAGGCGGCACTGGTGGATGAAGCCGATGCATTCCCTGAAGTGCTTCTTGCTAGCAGGAAAGAGTCAAGCAGAGTAAGAGGCTGTGGAAGGGCCCGCGGCCGGGGCAGCCCCGAGCGCACCGGGGTGCGCGGGGGTGGCTGCTCTCGGCCGGCTCTGCTCCTCGGACGCTCCCTCCGGCCTCGGCCGTCCCCGCAGAGGGGCCGCTGAACGGCCGGGGGCAGCGTCCCCGGGAACCCTCCCGGCTCGTGGCCCTGCCAAGAGGCCGCCCGCAGCCAGGCACTCACATGTTGGCCTCCGGCGTGTCGGGCAGCGGGATGCGGAGGTAGGTGATTTCCTGCAAGGCACAACAGGGCCATGGCCAGCTTGGTGCTGCAGCTGCCGGGCCCCGCGCCGCCGGCCTGGCAGCAAACGAGCAAGCCGGGGATGTGGACGTTGTTCCTAGCCAGGATTCAAGCCAGGCTGGATTGCGGGAAGGCCGGAGGGGCTGCTGGCTCCCCGGCGCCGGTGCCGTGGGGATGCTCAGCCCGGGAGACGCTGCCGAGAGGAGCCAGCTGCCGACCCCGCAGCCAGAGCGCCTACCTGCAGCAAGGGCTGCGGGGACTCGTGGATGGAAACTATGTGGGTGATCTTATTCCGGCTGAGCTGCTCCAGGTCCTTGGCATCTACGGAAGGAAGCAAGGAGCTTTTAGCACAAACGCATTCCCTGCCCTTCCTTTCCCAGCAGAGCGTGTGCTGCTCTCCGGTGGCCGCGCGCTGCTCCGGGCAGCCGTGTCCTGAACCACCCGGCGAGCATCGACGCACTTGGTAGCAGAGCGGACACAGGCAAATACGCAAATGCAGCCAGGAAATCTAGGAATGCAAACCCACACGATCCCGAAGCAGAGTGACTCCCTCCAAAGGCCTTGACCTTGCTGCTTGCGCTCAAGATGAAAACTCACATCTGCGCAAACACAGTCATCCGAGCAGACCTGTTTGCACTTGCGTCTACTTGTTCCCCAGCTTATGAAGGAAACAGCGCGCTCCCCGCCTGCACCTCTCCCATGCAAACCTAACAAACAGCAGCCTAAATGATTTGCTTTATCTTATGGACTGCAGAAGTGGGGCTGCAGCCTTCCCTGTCAGTTCTCAACTCGCTTTAACCTGTTTGACTTCCTTTCCAATACCTGGGGAACCCACAGAAGACGGTCACTCTGCCCTGTGTTGCAATTCTTTTATTTCCTCCCTAAAACTGCAGGTCTGGACCTCAGGTGTCTGCTCCTTCCTGGAGAAACCCCCCAGTTCTGGTGATGCTGCACTGCTGCTCCCAGGCTGGCGCAGGAGCCGCGGGGCTGCGCGCTGGCTTTGCTGCCCGAGCAGTCACTGGGACCTTGGCAGCTGATGTTGCACGAGCTGCTGGAGACACACGTTGGTCTCCTCTCATCTCACAGCTTTGGCTGGCTAAACTCCCCGCCTCTGCTTCTGAGCCTAAACCGCGTGGCGTGACATCAATATTTAATAAAAGGGAGTCCCAAGATCCACGCTTCCTTTCAGAGGTCACGTTTCCTCTGTGTGTCCCCCGCTCCGTCCCAGACCTAGACATCACCCATCACCTTTCCGCCTGTGCCCGACAGGCGGAATGAGGGTGATGAGAGTGACATGGCTGTAAAGGCTACAGCCGGGATGGGACGTGCTTTCAGGCGAAGCAAATGTCTCTGTGAACTCTTAGCGCTTAATTTAGCAGCCTTAAATCTCCGCCGGCACCCCACATTTCTTGGTGGGAACTGCTCTGGGAAGCGGGAGCAGCAGCAAACACTGTTTTTTCTTGGCAGACGTTCGCACTTAGTCACGGATTGTCCTTGACAGTGAAATCCCATCAGAGGAGGGAACTGGCGCACCCAGGGCTGACGCAGAAACTCTCCCTGCCCCAGCATGGGGTGGGTGCAGCTCCCTCTGGCTTGTCCAGAGCTGTCCCACAGCTCGGGGCTGCCTGAGCCTGTTCCCAGCGGGAGCAGAAGGGCATCCGAGCCCGGCCGGCAGCTCCCTGCTTCGCTCGCTTGTCACATCAGCTACATGTCCCCTGAATTGCACTGAATGCAACTAGGAAACCTCATTATGTAATGATGCAGCCTCATCACCCCCCAAACTGGCACCGAGTCTGCGCTGTTTCCCAACAAACTGCCTGAAGATTCCGTGCCTGCATCTGCTGAGGCCTCTCCGGACACGGACTCCTCCTCTGCCGGCTCCCAGCCCCAGAGTGTCCCTGCAGCACAGCCGAAGGGACAGCACATGGGAAGGACAGCGCATGGGGGGGACCATGCACGGGAGGGACAGCGCAGCGGGATGAGGCTGGCGGAGGCAGGAGGCAGCGAAGGTGGCCCAGGGGAGCCCCCTGCGCTGTCCCACGTCTGAGAGCAGCTCCCATTTAGGAGCAGCCAAGGCTGCCCGTGACCCCGGGAGCCCCGGGAGCCCCGGGAGCGGGAGGCGGGTGCCGGGGCAGCGTGGAGGTGGCAGGGGGACAGCCCGGGGGCTCTGCTTACCGATGAAGTTCCCGAGGTAGAGGCCGGGCAGCACCTGCGGAGCAAAGCGCAGGGTCAGGCGCGAGCGGCTCACGCTGGCAGGAGCAGGGCACCGCGCGTCCAGTTTTACCCTCATCTGTTTCTGCATTTCCCACCTCTCTCATCTTGGCTGATGAAAATTAACAGTCAGCTTTGTGCCTGTTTAGAGCCGATGTTGCGATCGGCTTCTCCCGCTTTGGTATTTTGTGGGAACGGCACGTGGGAAGTGACCACCGCCAGAACGGTTGTTCTTCCTGCCCACATATGAAGGTATTTCTGTGGGTCTAACACTTTCCAGAGCCTTTTTATGACTTTTGAACATTTTAGACCCATTTTGCATTGTCAGGGTGCCCTTGGCAGAGTGATGCTGCTGGGCCTCTCATATCCAGGACAGCTCCCGGGGTGCAGAGCCTGGATAAAAGCACGTTCCCGTGTCCCGCACTGCTCCAGCCTCCTCCCGGCTGTCTGGAATGGGGCTTTATGGCTCCACCTGGAACCCCAGGAGATGTAGACAAGGAGAGGGAGGTTTCTGTGGGAAGACGCTGGCTCTGGTCACCTGTGTCCCCCCGGGGATGCTCCAAGCGCTCTCAGCGCTCACCTGGGGCAGAGGCCATCACAGCCCCAGGCTCCCCAGGACCTCACTCCCTCGCGGGGAGGTTTCCAGATCCAGAGCCCTCGTTCCCAGTCCCCTTGGCCCGGCTGTCTGCTCCGTCCCGGCTCCCCTTGGTGAGACCCGCATCCCGCATCCCATGCGAGCGGCGCCGGGTGCCTCTTTACCTTGCTCATGCCGTTGCCCATGGCACGCGGGGCGGCCACTCTCCTCGAGCGCCGGATTTCCGTCCCAGCGGGATTCAATCCTGCAGGATGGCAGCCCTTTGCTGGAGCACCAAAGCTGCCGCCGTGCCTCTCCTGGCAGAGAGGGAATGAGTAAGTCCAGGGGGACAGAAGGGATGCGCAGGGAATGTGCCGTTGTCCCCA